GATTTCTCTCGAGCACTGCGGGTATTAGCACGGGTTTTTCAGTTTTATTACAAAACGCATCCCGTACACAAATTGATCCAGCGAGAGGAAACGACCCAAGTGACTTCCGATGAAATCCGCCAGGTAAAAATGCGCTTGATTCTCTTAGCGCAGAAGCGATGCTACTACAACGAATACCAGGCACTTGAGGCATCAAGACCAGTGGGGGCAAAGAGTCCCCTCAACGCTCTCAATCCCTTTCTCGATAGAAATGAAATCATGAGAGTTGGAGGGAGACTGACTCTAGCGGAGTTGCCATATAATGAACGCTATCCAGTGATTTTGCCGTACGATTGCCNGAGGCATCAAGACCAGTGGGGGCAAAGAGTCCCCTCAACGCTCTCAATCCCTTTCTCGATAGAAATGGAATCATGAGAGTTGGAGGGAGACTGGCTCTAGCGGAGTTGCCATATAATGAACGCTATCCAGTGATTTTGCCGTACGATTGCCAATTTTCTCGACTTTTAGTCAGATTCTCACATCTGATTTCCCTGCATGGAGGAAATCAACTCATGCTGAGACTTCTGAGAGCAGAATTTTGGATCATACGGATGAAAAATTTACTAAAAAGCGTTATACATAATTGTTAAGTTTGCCTTATTTACAGGAAAAAGACACGAGAGCAACTTATGGCAGCACTCCCACCTGAACGAACGGAAATTTCCCGGCCCTTCACCAATACTGGCGTGGATTTCACCGGGCCGTTCGAGATAAAAAACTATACCAGCAGAGCGTGTCTTATAACCAAGGGATATGTTTGCGTTTTCGTGTGCTTCGCGACGAAGGCAATACACCTGGAAGCAACGAGCGATCTATCGACTTCCACCTTTCTAGCGGCATTTTCAAGGTTTGTGGCAAGGCGCGGTTGCCCTCGGAGTGTGTACTCGGACAACGGTACGAATTTTGTAGGAGCTAATAAAGCATTAAGGCAGGACTTCCGAAACTTTGTAGCCGAAATTTCCCGCCTAACCACCCAGTCGTTTGCTCATCAAGAAATCGACTGGCACTTCATACCACCGGGAGCCCCACATATGGGAGGGCTGTGGGAAGCAGGAGTGAAGAGTTTTAAAACCCACTTCCGTAAAGTGGCGAATACCATGCGTTTTACAATGGAGGAGTTCTCCACTTTGCTAGCAAAGATAGAAGCCTGCCTAAATTCGCGACCAATTAGTCCGCTTTCCGACAACCCCGAATCCACAGAACCCCTCACCCCAGGACATTTTATGATTGGCACCCCGTTACTCGCGATTGCCGAACCAGAAATTTACGGGAACCCGCTGTCAATCGTAAACCGATGGCAAAACATCAAGGCAATCCATCAAGGATTTTGCCGGCGATGGAAAGAGGAATACCTAAAGGAGTTACACAAGAGAGTCAAGTGGCAACACCCCCAACGAGACATCGAAGTCGATGATTTCGTGGTTATCAAAGAGGATAACCTACCCCCGAATGAATGGCGACTTGGCAGAGTTGTTAAGGTTTTTTTAGGTCAAGATAAACGCGTGCGAGTCGTAGAAATACGTACAACGCGAGGCATAATTACGCGACCAATCGTGAAATTAGTGCGACTACCGTTAGTAAACCCAAATTAACGAGTTCTTTCTTTCCAGAAAAATTTACAATATGGTTCGAGCCAACAACAACGCTACTCAAAAGCAGCATCGATGCCCTATCTGCAAACACAACCACCGTTTGCAATTCTGCCGCCTNGACTGCGTGCTGTCCTCCTGTGTCGCCACTGTGCTAACTGCCTGTCGTCACGTCATATGGCCAGTAGCTGTCCGTCAACGCGCAACTGCGACCGCTGCCGAGAACGGCACCACAGTCTGCTCCACCTGTGGGAAACTCCCAGACGTGAGGAAGACGTGCCACTCGACCTCAACGTGACGGACGTTCGGCGAAGACGGCAACCCCGCCCATACCGTGCTCGGGCATTGACGGAGTCCAGTGAGGAGGTACTGGAAATAGATGTCAGCGATGAAGACATCCAGCAAGTGCATGAAGGTTCGCCTGACACGAGCGAGCCACCGATACTCAGACCACCTCTGTCGGGTATCCGGTCGGCGATACAGCTCCCCGCCAGGTCAACGGAAAAAAGGCGTCGACAGTCTCGAAAACGAAGACGTAATCCGCAACCGCGGCATCGCCGGGGTATGAGAGACGCCCGAGAGCGAAGCCATGGATCCGTCCGACGTGCTCAGGGCTGAACGGTGCAAATCTTTTGCAATTAATAAAATTGCCTTCGCATTATCTCTAGCCACACCAATTGTCCGCGAATATTTGCCGCAGCATTTACATTCAGTTATGAACGAGAACGTTCGCGAAGGCTAGTGATGGCGAAAAAAACAATAATCGATTAATCGGTTAATTGATTAATCGAAAGCACTCGATTAATAAGTGCAATTAATCGCAAGAAATTAACCGATTTATCGGTCGTTTTGATTAAAATCGAAAATTAAGAAAAACCATTTATAAGTTATAAAAAACTGACTTACACCCCGTGTCAAAATTATAACGCACGAGAAGATTTTTTTTTGTTAATCAATTTTAATTATTTTTTTTAAATGTAGCTTATTCTTTAGCAAAAAAAACGTATAAATATAAATATACCAATGTGCAATATTAAAAAAAAATCAACAAAAAATTCCAACTTTTTAATTTGGTTTTGTTATACCGAATTTCCATTAGTNAAAAACTGACTTACACCCCGTGTCAAAATTATAACGCACGAGAAGATTTTTTTTTGTTAATCAATTTTGATTATTTTTTTTAAATGTAGCTTATTCTTTAGCAAAAAAACGTATAAATATAAATATACCAATGTGCAATATTAAAAAAAAATCAACAAAAAATTCCAACTTTTTAATTAGATTTATTATACCGAATTTCCATTAGGCATTGAAATTGCAAAAAAAATATATGCCATTTAAAAAATTCCATGTGGAAATGAACATAATGACAATTTTTTCAATGACACGATTATTTTTTAATGCTATGTGGTAACCACGAAAATAAACAAAACATATTGTATGCATGTCAGTTTTATTTGTTCACTAAATAACCAATATGGATAACTCAGCTGAAATACGTGCCTTTCCCGAATTTTATAGATGTATTCCGAAACTTATGAAATTGTAAAAAGGAGATCGTACAGTGTATTGCTCGCAAAATTGAAACGTTTGATGGCAAAACGGCCAACTTTATTGCGAATAGATCTGAACAAACTGTCGCAACGTTAATGGCTTCCATTATGTTAAATTTGAGTAGAAATTGAGTGAATTCCATTTCACACTTAGTTTCTAATAAAATTTATGAAATGATTTCGTAAATCCGTCTATGCATAAACGTAGTAACTGTGCGTATAATTTGTTAGTTGATTTTAAATGATTTCGTAAATCCGTCTACGCATAAACGTAGTAACTGTGCGTATAATTTGTTATATCGAGCCCTAACCGCCAAAAGAGCGTAAGCGACATAATGTTCGATTTTTTGTTTTTGACAGAAATCAATTACTTACCACCATACGCACCAGCTGTCAAAATTTCAAAGTCCTACGAAGTACCGTTAGACTATGTTCAAACAGGCAAATTAGCAGAGGCAATTAAGCTTTAAATTGCGGCATTGATGTTCACACACACGTCAGCTGCGCAATCAGCGATACGAAATCAGCTGCTGTATTACCTACAGTGAATAGTTGGTACAATCGTACCTTTATTTAGTGTGAAAGTTCATTCGGTAAAAACACACAATTTTAGGTATATTTGGAACGTAGCCAAATAACTTCTCAGGAAATCAGTTCTTATTTTTATTGACATTTCAATGCATTTTCTGGTGCGGGCAACAGGTCTAATAGCTCCCCTCCTTTGTGAAGGGACATACAAATGATACAGAAGGGTGGTCAAAGTAACGCAACTGTAGTTTATTTCGCCAGATAAACGGAAAATATAAGGTGGGTTTGGCCCTTTTTTTTATAGAAAGTCCGAATAAAATGGCATTCTAAAGGTCGCAAGAGTTTTAAAATCTTCTAGAAAATTTTTTGCCATAAAATTTCACAAGGGGTCCTCTCAGACAAAATCTTTGTACAAAGAATGTGCAAGTCCACACAAAATAACAAATCATATGAGTAGTCCACTTGCAAAGTGCGCTATGTAAAATTTTTTCGGTTTTATAGTAGTTTCATGTCCATTAACAACACAGTGCAAAATTTTTTCATATTCTGAAAAAATAGCATCAAATGTTAACTCTTCTTCCAAAAGTCGCTATCATACTTATTTATAAACTTTCAAAAGTATACATCTTCTGATGAACTTAGAAAACTGCTTTAGGTCATACTGTCGGACTGTTAATATTATCTTATGTCATGTTATGTTATGTTACAGTTTTATAAGGCTCTTTTTTATTCAAATTTTCAGTTAATAATACAAAAGATTCAATTTAAATGTTACTTGTTTATGGCTTTCTATTACAAAATCACATAACGCTGTTTGCAAGCGGACTACTCATATATCCCCTTAAAATATGGGCCATTCTCAATTAGTTCGAACTTTCGCATGACTCGACAGTTTTTATTCGGACACATAATTTTCGCTGGTTTATTTACCTAAATCAGGTTACATATATTGTGCAGATTATGTAAATTCAAAAAAAGGAACCACAGTACATATTTTCTAGCCAAATATGCATACAATTTCGAAATAAAATTAGGAAATTTTCACAAATAAAAGTGTGACTCTCCAGGTATTTTTTTATTTTTACTCAAACAAAATAAGCCATGTAAATTACAAAGAAATAAATTACTAATGACAATAATATGTATGTATGTACATATTTTGCATATTTTAGGTGGAACCGAAAAACGATCACATGCCCTCTCACCAATGGAGAAAAAAGTTGTTGCCTATCATGAATCGGGGCATGCGCTTGTTGGTTGGCTTTTGCCCAATTCTGATGTATTATTAAAAGTAACAATCGTACCTAGAACCAGCCTTGCTTTGGGGTTTGCGCAGTATACACCAAGCGAACAGAAGCTATATAGCAAGGAAGAACTTTTCGACAAGATGTGCGTAGCCCTTGGCGGGAGGGCAGCTGAGAATTTAATATTCAACAAAATTACAACTGGAGCACAGAACGATTTAGAAAAGGTTACTAAGATCGCATATGCACAGGTAAATAATACATGTATATGTACACACATGAACAAAAGTGTTCGTCATTTATCATATCTATGCCACGCTCATCAGCAATTTTATTGAGTTTGAGGCCGTTTATAATGAAAAATGTTGTGGAAAAATAACAAATAATTTACACATGGTAGAAGTTGTAAACATCGCGAAGCATTAGGCTAATCAGGTTAGGTTAAAAATTTAACATTAATTTAATTTTTTCATTTTGCTAATGTATAATTTATTTATTAATGTTCAATTAATAATCCGTTAACCTTCATATAAGGTGGCCTTAGGTTTGAGCTCAACTTGAGGTGAAGTCGAGAACTAAGGTGTGTATTTCTTAAATCTCCAACGTTGTTTCTCAACAGTACCTCAATAACATCACAGCGTCCTCAACAAAAAGGGAATTTTTCTTGGTAGGAAAACAGGACTGTGTCTCGAGTTGAGAAAAAGTTAGTTCTTAACTTGAACTCCAATGTGATTCCCCAATTGGCCTCATACATATCATTGAAATACTGAAATTAAAATAGTAAAATAATATCTAATTTTTTTAATTGACAGCCGTATTCTAACAAAGTCACAAACTTTAGCTCATCACTGCTGTGATTTCTACCGCGCCTCAAAGCTTGCCGCTCAAAAAATATGCCGCTTCAATTAAATTTTTTAAATTTTTGTGTATCTTTCTAGCACTCAAAATCGAATTTTTTGTGACACATTTCTCGGCGCACTTGAAATCACAACAGTGATGAGCTAAGTTTTGTGACTGTTAGAATAGAGGGGTGAAACGAAATATTAAAATAAATTTAATATATTTAATTAATATCGTATTACAATAATTTATTTTAAAATTCAGGGATTTTAATGTTTCCCTTTTTAATTTTTTGTTTGAATTGTTTATAAAACAGTTTGAACTGTTTATAAAACTATCCACTTTTTTGTTTTACGGAATTTCTAATGTAGTTTTTTACTTTATATTGTTTAAAAATTTGTTTCATTTTCATATTTAAACAGGGTTCGTATTTGCACACACATGCGCAGCACATCCTAACATTTTACGTTCACACACGTGTGCTGTGCATATAAAAAATTAAAAACTTGCTCACATCACATGTGTGCGCCGTTTGGTAAAAAGCACGGGCACATGCGTGTACTTTATTTTTATTTACCCTGCAAAAAATTGTGCGACTAATCTCTAAAGAGAGTATTCCGAGATTACTCTCAATCGGGTACAATTGGGCATTAATTAGTCGCAACTAGTCTTATACGGGTACTAATGGAGGTCAATTAGTCTCGACTCCTCCCTTATGGGTATAATTGGAGATCAATTAGTCCCCAACTCATCTCTAACAGGTACTATTAACGATTTACGCACTTAGTCAATGAAATTTCATGTGCGGCGTTGGCACACAGAGGGAGTATTCACCTAACAAAACTGAGCACCCCGGTTCGAATCTCAGCTGGCGAAAATTTTTATTTTTATTTTTTATACCCGTTCAGGTATAATGGTGAACAATTAGTCTCTTCATAGGACATGCTCGAACAAAAGCGATCAGTTCATTCCATATAAAGAGATCAAAAGTGGTATTAGTCGCATGCTCCTTTGCGATTGCTCCCGGAGTCATCCCGGATTAGTCCCATTTTTTGCAGGGTATATAAAGCACACGCACATGTGTGTGCTTTGTGTAAAGAAACTCATACACTTCGAATTCTAACTCAAACCTCAAAATAATTTTTTTATATCTTTTCTGTCATATAAAAAGCAAAAAAACATATCACTTTTTATTGAATTGTTTTATAAAAAAATAACGTTTTATAAAAAATTATATTTTCAAAATATATTAAGTGCATGTGCATGCCCAGAAATTTGTACTAAAATCGGCTCACACTCATGTGCATCGGCTTAATAACCCAGTAGAAATCTTAAGCATACAACATCGCTGTTGGTGGCATGAGCTTGCTGCTGTGTATACATGCCAGTATAAATGAACCTTCATTTCCATTTAACACGCGTGGTTTCTCAGAGCGTATGCGCACTTTAATCATACACTTGTACTACTGCTGTATGCATATGGCTGTATTAATGTTTCAAACATACAAATATGCATTAATGGAACAGTATTAAAGCATTTTTACAAGATCCCCATATGTAAATGCTACTTTTCTGATACATTTTAATATACGGGGACATACAAAAAAGTAGCACTTACATATGCAAATGCATATCTTGTAAAAGCCCGTTTGTGCTGAAAATAGTATCGCACAAGACGTCCGTTCACTAAAATTTTTGTACAAGACTGCAAATATTACAAAAATTCCACTTCAAATTTATCAAGAAATGTACTTAAAACAACGACAACGTACATTTGCTAGAATTTGAATTTATTCGTGGAAATTCATGACTACGCATGAATTGTTCACACTAATTCACTCATATAGCAAGCATCCCTCAAGAATGCATACAACCGATTTCTACTGGGAAGAAACAGCACACTCTTTGCTGTGAGCAGAGTTTGTTTTCCACTAATGCACACACGTGTGTATGAGCAATGAGTGCAAGTTGATTGTGTTTGTGGCGTGTGCGTGTGCAGAGCATGTGTGTGCAAATACGAACCCTGTTTTTAAAGTATCCACGCCTACATTGTATTCCTTCGAAAGCATATGCTTTGGCCGCGCCGCGCTTCCGCTTGCATATTTTTGTATTTTAAAATTAGTGCCGCCTTGTTGAGGAAAATTGTAGTTCAAGGTTGGAGATATTTGGAGAAGGATCTCGGATATAAACTTGAGAATTACAAAATTCTCCAAGTTTAGCGAAAAGTTGGATAATGGTGTCGGATTTCAATTTAAGAACCATGGATTTCTTCAGATCCTCAGAATATGAAAATAGGATGCTAAGAACTTAAAAAGGAAAAAAATCCATTATTGCAAAAACTGAATGAGCTACTCCGAAATCCGCGATTTATAAGACTGTTTTGCTATAGGTTTAAGTCCTTATATGGAAAAACTTTCATCTTGCAGAAGAAAGAAAAAAAGATATGGAACGTCATGAAGAATAAGCCGCAATTGGGACGTGAATCGGATTAAAAACTTGGTCGGTTCGCTTCAGCGGTTCGAACCAGTTTTGCACTTTTGGATTGGTTCATCAAAGCGGTTTTTTGGTCTTTGAATCGGGGTTTCGGTTCGGTTCTACGGTTCAGTAATCAAAAAAATAAAATAAAAACAAGTAAGAAAGTCTAAGTTCGGGCGGAGCCGAACATTAAATACCCGGCGCAAGTATTAAATATATGTTTTTTCACCCTTCCGAAACCTTCCGCTAGATGGTAAGCCGAGGTGTATCAATTTTGAGTAAATTAGCGTCCTTCAATTTCGAAATATTGAAGTTTCAAGCATTTCTTAAATTTACCGTTATATGAGAATCGGCCGTTATTTTAGTCCGATTTCAATAATTTTCAACGTTTTGCTTACACGTGGCAAGTACAATAACCATACCGAGTTTGGTACAAATTGGTAGAACGGTTACCGATATACTTATATGTCATCATAAGTGGGCGGTGCCATGCCCATTTTCGAAAATTTTACCATAAGAAGAAGAAATGG